AAAAATATTTTGAAATGTTCTCCGACATTTACTTAAAGGGAATATACAACATTTGCAAACATCGAAACATAAAACTACAAAGTTTTTACGAAATACCATACTAGGATGTTGGTAAATGACAGTCTCAAGCATCTTGTAAATTTATGGCACCTGGTGTGAAGTCATTTTCAACAAAATGGTATTTTTGTATACATGGTCGGCCGACCAGCGTTGGAAAAACCTAACTATTTTTCAACTATTGCTCCAAGTTTACCATTTTTTCAGTCCAAATTTTGTTTGCTATTGGTGGTGCAGGCCAGCTAGACTGGTTCCCTTGCCTTACAATTTTCCATCCTCTATAAATTGATCCATTTTATCTTTTGTGGAGTCAGGGAACCAGACTACTTGAACATTTTTCCCCCAACCTTTTCGAATACAAAACTTCAAAAATGTCAGCGTAACAATATTTGATCTATTATACTAACCCCTCAAATAGTTCATTTCTGAAAATTACAGCAAAAGCCAATGATGTACATTCCCTTTAAAATCAAAGACATCATAGGATCGTATATAGGAGCGTTTAGTTTTTGCCCTTAGTTTGTTCGTTTCCAATAATAACTCCCAAACTCCAAAGAATAAAGTTCAAAACCTAACCTGTTGAAGTTTCAGCTCAGTGGACATTTAGGCCTATATACTTTTCGAGAAAACAGTGGGGGGAATTAAAATGCATAACTGGACCCTTTTGATCACGAAAGACGATTTCAATAGAAACGTTTATCCCCAAACCCTTACGGCGTGGGGTAGTGGAATCTAGATGTTCTGTGTGCGATCGGAGGCAATTTCTTACCACTTTAACCATTTTTGTTTCAAGCAAAAGATCACCCTTTTAACATCCTTTTCGAGTTTGGAGTCGTTGAATCAATATTTCTGAGCTATAGAATCATAATTATGTAGGCTACATTTTGGGGACCGGACAAACGATATGATATTCCCACTTTAAAAAGTGGGGGGGGGGGGGGGGGGGGGGGGGGCATCGATTGTCGCCCGCGATTCAAATAAGCTTTTTGATAGCAATTCGGTAGGGTACTTTGGGATAAATGCAAATGATGCCTTTGTATCTCAAGAGGAAAAAAAAAACATTTAAAGAAAAGGAAAACATGCATCTCGTTTCGTCCCAAGGATTGGCGGCCGAGGCATGATCACCGTGCAGCTGACAGTGAAGGAAACATTAGAGTTCCTCACACAGGAGCAACGAAGGTCACCCAAGACTGACAAAAATAGAGCTGCCTTTACCACTGTATCAGTTTATTCAGTTACATTAACTGCATACATTTGTTTAAACCCAAGCGGTCCTTTTCAGGGACAACACATTTTCCTAAAAGATAAAGAATCTTCTGGATCCCCCCTCACAGCTGCCTACATATTCTTTTTTTTTCTCAAGGGTTTTTGACGTCTTTCTTCACGTAAGGATTCCCTTCCACAATTTAGTGAAAGTTCTTTTGCACATTTAGAATTTTCCCTCTAGTGCCGGTCTTCCTGTGCCCCTTGATCTGCTTGCGACTGTGCATGACACTATAACTTCAATAAAATAGGGGAAATTGTAGATGTGATTATACTTCCAATTGTTACTACTTCAAAGGTACAAGATCAACATAAAAAAAAACAGACAAAATTAATATTATTATCATTTATTCAACCCAAACAACATAAAGGTACAAAGTGAAATTACATGAGAAAACATAAAAACGTAAACACTTGGGATTAATAAATATTTAGATACCTTTCTGGATTCAAAAATATTGCAGGATTAACTAAATAGAACCACTGAAAACAAAACAAGCGTACAAATGAACATAAATTAAAACATAATAGGCAATCAAATAAAGAACTCTAAGAACTAACTCATTAATAAGATACAATTAATTAAGAATTAGTAATAATTGGTAATTAACAAGACTGAAATGAAAGCACATTATTAATTACTGGTTAAGATAAAACAAAATCCTGAATGTACCACATTCGTATTTTAATATAGGTTTTCACAGCTATTTTAAAACATTATTTACACAAATTCACCAACTTTATCATTCAATTTCGTCCGAGAAAAAATTCACACGCTTTTAACAAAACCAATGAAGTCATTTACCATTCAATTTCAAAGTTTAGTCACCCTCTTTGGTCACCGGGTCGAGAATATTTGTCATTACACATCAAATTCGCATAAGCCGTTGCCGAATGGCAGCATTCAGAGATCGAATTCGTCTGATATAAATCAATTAGACGAATTTGAATTCTGAATAACAAGGTTTGGCGTGGACGAGACGAAATCGAACGTGTGCTCTTGTTTGAACTGAATTTAAAATTGTTTGACAAAAGACGATATTAAACACTGGAAGTGCACTAAATCGATGTTGATTGACGAATTTGAATATTAGAAACGGTGATTTCGAATGATAAACATTTTAAAATAGCCCGGAAAACCTATAGACAACTTTGCCAATTTTTTAATAAGGTAAATATGAGATTCAAGTATAATTAATGTCTTCATTCAAATAAAAAGAAAAACCCAGAAGTTTCCTCTATCTTATCAACTATTGCCATTGATTTTGAATAATGACCAATTTTAACATTTTAAGAGTAGATTGGCTAAAGAATGCCATGGTCCTGTGGTTACGGTGTTTGAACCCTGCCAGGAACATGGTGTTTGTGTCCTTGGGCAGGACACTTTCCTACAATTGCCTCTCTCCACCTAGGAGTACAAATCAGTATACTGTGAGGGTAGAAGACCGAATGTGTGCTGATATACTGGCTGCCACGTGGCCTGATGAAAGGGGTGCTTTGAGATTGTTATACCATGGAGAGCACTAAATAAGAATTACTATCTATCTATGTGCATGTCTGTCCAACTTGAAAACATGGACAGTTTTAGCAGACTGGATGCAAGGCTGTGAAAAGAGTTTACGGAGAAACCTATGACAAGATTTGAAACATGTTACAGACCAGTTCTAATAGACCTTATGCATTAGGGTGGAGTTAGAGGGCAATGGTTTGGTATTGCTTGGGTAGGCATGAGTCTACCTTTTGTGTATTCATTGTTACTAGATTAAAATAACAACGAACAGCCTCTGAGATGCCTGTGATGCACGAGGTCTATGTGTTGGACTCACTTCAAGCAAAAGTCTGTTTTCTTGTGCTGTGTGGTTGCACTGTGTTAAGATTGGGGTTTCTCGGTGCACTGTTTTGAGAGTGTAAAGTCAAGGTAAAGTGGCTTGCTCAAGAACACAAGCACCATGCAAACACTAGGCTGGATTAAGAATACCAATCAGAAATTTGGCAACATTGTAAGCCTGCATATGGGCAAAGTGACGTGTCCATGTTTAAAGTCTCATTCAAAGCCCCTTTGACTATACATCACTGCTAGACTTCAATCTGCAATTGCTAACATTTCTTAGAACAAAATTTAACCTAAATTTTTATTCACATTTTCTTGAACAGGGAAAATTGTAAGTATAAAAAGTTCATTTTAAAGATTTACAGTCATTATTTTGTTCAAAGGCATTTTGGCAGGATGTAAGATGTACATCTAAAACAAATCACAAATAAAACACTGCTATCGTGTTTCAGTCAAATTACAAACCACATCATGGATTTTCTAAATTGTAAATGCTATGCACTTTGAAAAGACTTGTAGAAACTTCAGAAAATTGTTGTTTTTGAAACTGTGTGACTTCTAACAAATAAGTATATCACATTTTAAAATTTCAGTCTCATTGCTAAGACTGGAAAAGCACACAGAAAATGTAGACATTTCAAAAATAATACACGTACTGCGCAAAAGTTGGGTGTGGTCAGTGGATCCGCACAATAGAGCAATCTCAACTGAGCCCTACCCTCTGTTTTGACCAATCACAACCATGCATGCAGTCACGTGATCTTGTGATCTGACACATGCGTTTAGTAGGTGCTACACTTGCACATGTCAGCATTGTACGAGGGTGGTATGATATTATGTTCACATACAATATGGCCGGGAACGCAGTGGCTACATGTAGCTAGCTAGGGAGAGATCATAGCCATGGGTCCATGTACATGTATGTATTTTTGACAACTTCATGCAATAATATATTGAAACCTGCTGTGTTTCGTTTGATGTAAGGCAAATAGGAATCTTGCTGAAGGATTCAACCCCAAAATATTTAAGATGCAAATCTTCTGAGTATACTTTGATCTACACTTTATCAACTATAATTTATTTTTTTCCTAAAAAAGTATATGGCGTAAAATACATACAACCAGTAATCTTGGTTTTCGCTTCAAGACAAAACCACCATCACTTGCAAATAATATCTTTGGTTTACGAAAAGCCCCTATTCTGCTGATTTGATGCCAGGTGGCCAAAATCAGTAAGGAGTGAATTGGGCTGAAAAAAAACCCACTTCCATTCTCGCGTCCATGCTGCCTGAACCAACCACGCGCTGGCACTGTACCATACTTCAAGATTCCGTACCGAAACTTGGGAGCTTATGTCATCACCTTGTTTCGGCAGACCGGATCTTATGGAAGCACATTGCAACAATTGGATCTTATGGAAGATCGCAACAATTGGATCTTATGGAAGATTGCAACAATTGAATCTTATGGAAGATTGCAACTATTGGATCTTATGGAAGATCGCAACAATTGGATCTTATGGAAGCAGATTGCAACAATTAGATCTTATGGAAGATTGCAACAACAGGATCTTATGGAAGCAGATTGCAACAATTGGATCTTATGGAAGATCGCAACAATTGGATCTTATGGAAGATTGCAACAATTGAATCTTATGGAAGATTGCAACTATTGGATCTTATGGAAGATCGCAACAATTGGATCTTATGGAAGATTGCAACAATTGGATCTTATGGAGGATCACAACAATTGGATCTTATGGAAGATTGAAACAATTGGATCTTATGAAGAAAGCAACAATTGGAGCTTGGAAGATTAAAATAATTGGATCTCATAGAAATACACACACAAATCTGAGATGCTGACCATCCAACACATGGATTGACCCAAATTCTTGTGACCTCAAAAACCTCATCTTGAGGTATATGCCACGTTTTTGTCCCCGATGATAAACTAAAAGAGACGTAAATAATTATTCATCACGGTTTTGCATCGGCATTCACATTAACTTTAAATCTTTGCATAGTCATTTTGTTTAGGCTAAAATGGAATTACCAAAATTTGGTACTGTTCGTGTATCACCCCTGGTCTGTCTATAGGAAGAACAGCCGGTCAGCCAACTCAATCCGCGGCTCTTTGTGGAGGCTTTGGCCAACAAGGAAAGACAGCTTGTGAGCGTAGAGGCAGGGGGCTGGTACACGAATGGTTCCCTGCAAAACAACAGAAGAAACAGACAAGATGAGTATGGAACTAGATCACTGAACTCTATAATTGCTGTACTGTTGCTTACATGTATGACAGTACATACTGAAGCAGCCGTTCTCTCATGACATGTCTGTGCAAGAGACATGGGATATCTGTGCAAGTGCCACGTCAAAGTAAACTGATCACCTCTATGGCAAATAAGTTGCTGTGAAATTTGAAAAAATTGAACACATTTGACTCCTGCCAAATTTTGCCAAGCCTACTTTGGGTTATGATTGGGTGGCAAGGCTGGCAAGTGTATAAAGCACTCAACTTTCACCACTGTGGCCCGGGTTCGATTCCCAGCTCGGGTGATTATGTGAGTACAATTGTTCATTGATTCTCTCTTCTGCCACGAGGGTTTTTCTTCGGGCTCTTCGGTTTCCCTCCCTAAGCAAAAATTGACACTTTGGATCTAATCTCTGGCTGTGCTCCGTGGTCAGACATGGGTCGTATGGCGGCAGCCTAAGGCGCCTTTACATGCCTATGACTCGACCACATTGTAGCTACGTCCTTTGCAATTCAGCTCATGCTGCGAGTAAGGACGATTAGCCCCCCATATATACAGGATAGTTACAGTGCTTTGGAATGCCGTTCATAACTTGCCCCGCTCCTTACCGGCCAATTGAAGTACAGATGGGTGAGCTTGTAGGTCAGGCTTTGCATGCTGTCTGGTGCCAGACCCGAGTTGTCCCAGATCACATTGTAACTGGTTGGAGTGACCGTGCCCTGGCGTACAGACTGACTGACAAGGAAGAAGTCGTATCTGTGGACACAAAATGGAGACCAGTCAGAGTGATACATACAGTCAAAATAAATGTTAATAGTTTCAGCAGGCTTTATACTTCAGTATCTATTGGTGATTGTTGGATCCAGCAGGGTCATAAAAATACTCGGAGCAGGGTTAGGGTTGGCTGCACAGACTTGACCATTTTTTTGAAGGGGAGGACCCCGCAACGGTGAGGCGTAGTTATGGCGCGCTGTTCTACGGGCACTGCACTCTATACCACCACGTTTGCAGGTCTGCCGGAGGCTAATTAATGTGCCTGTTTCAAACAGGCACATTTTGAACACGCACTGCACTAGTAGTCTTTATACAACACCTGAATAAATCCCTGTCACCTGATTGGAGGATCGTTGATCACATGTCATTGAATTATTCGTACCAACGCACGGCACGCGTGGCGCGCAGCGCACAGTGCAATGGAAGTTCTATTGCACTGTGAATATAGAACTTCCATTGTACGCTGTCACTGCTGCTGGTGGTGGCGCTGTTTTAAATCGAGATCAATTGATAAATTGAATATGATTGTTCTCAACCTGTCGAATAGTTGGCATTAATATAAATATGATGAACTTGTCAAACTTTTAAACAGTTTTCAACCTGAATAAATTGGCTATTAAAAGTCAACCAATCAGATGACAAGGATTTATACGTGTGTTATATAAAACAAATAATGAATGTTTCACGTTCATGCAATGGTAAGAATAATTTCATGAGGTGACAGGTGGAATGGAACATTCATTATTTGTATAATAATAACAGAACAAACTTATGATTTTCATAAGTATATATATTTTGGTTAGTTACAGTGTACAGGGATAATAATTTGTTTTCTTGTTTGATGTTTTTTCCAGTGAGTTGTTTACTTACAAGTCTGGTTTGGTGACCACCGAGTCGATCACCGTTCCTGGGGATGGGTTGACGAGATTTCCTTGGTTCAAGGAGCAAAATCTATTGTTGATTCGCTTCTTAACGACGACCACAGCGCACTTAGGGCTGTACACAAACAATCAAAGACAAGATTTATTGGCACAGTCTTGTCTATCATGACATGAGACACTAGTAAACGACACTTCTATGTCAAAAAGCAAAATGTGAAAGATTCAAAACAAAAATATAATTTGAGGCAACAACACAGATATACCATGTAACATATTTTTTTGGCAGAGTTGTATCGAGTCCTAATTTTGTGATTTGAGCTGAGTCGAGTTATTTCAAAGTAGTGACTTGAGTTGAGTCTAGTAATTTTAAAGAAGTGACTCGAGTCGAGTCGAGTCATTAGGTTGAAAATTTCAAAATGAAACTTGAAACGAAGAACAATAATCTGAACTCTTTTAAGGTGTAGTCTACGTGGATCAAAAAGAATAGAAAACACAGAAAGTAAAAGGCAACAAGATCGTCGCATCATGAACATGATGAACCATTTCCACATTAAAAAAAATGTGCATGATTGATTTTCCTTGAAATCAGTTAAATTTGTTTTTGATAGGCCTTTATTTGAACACAAATCATTTCAAAACTTTTTTGAAAATCAAACCAATACTTACCAGGGATAAACTTAGGATTCCAAGCTTTAAAATTATGCACAAATTATTGCGGTACGTGTTTCCACAGTGACGCTAGAGCCTCGCAAAAATAGGTTGCGGGCATTTTGGGACACACTGTAGTTTAGTCCATCACAAGTCCATCACAAGCCATGTCATAAGCTATTCAAACGAACTCTACGAAAAAATTCCAATATCACTATTTATGCTGTCGCCTACGACTGGACATGTGTGATGGGCTGGTGACAGACTCAACTATGACACTAGTGAGAGTGCTCAACCTACCTATAGTCTGTTCCTATCATCCTGAAGGTATCAATCACTTGCGGTAGTTCATACTCCACCACAGCCGGCAGTTGCCCATCACCGACGCCATCGCGATAGATGATGACTCTCTCGGGCAACTTACCGTTGATTTCTTTAAACTTCCTCAATGCACCTAAATGAAAAAATATACATGCGGCAAAACTCATGATCAGCAGCGTAACTAGAGGAGGAGCAGAGTAGCAGATTGCAATAGACCTTTATCATGCTGCCGCCATTTCGGTCATCTTCCCTGTATCCAATAACAGTACTGAATGATAATGTTTTTGTGCAAAAAGGAACCAGACTATTTTTCCTTCTAGCCTCGCTTTGGTTGCGTTGATTTGAATGGGAAAAACATTCAAGATAGCCGCGACATGATAATGGTGTATATAGCATGGAGATTTGAAGCAAAATTGAGACACTGATAGAAGCAAAATCGGGACGGAAAAAAATCAGCCATTTCACACTCACTGTCCCTCGCAGAATGTTTAATTTGACCTGTCAGATACTTACTTGTCATGCAGACTTTGAGACCATCAATGAGCTCCTGTCCTGTGTGCTGGAATGTACATCGTGAAAAGTACCTGTAAACACAATAACATGGCGAGCGACAGTGGATATTCTATAAGGTCCATAGGATCACTTTTGTGTGCAATTTTTTCCGTTTGAAGAAAAAAAATTGCTTAAAATCTTTAAGAAAGGTGCATAACAACTAAACTTCTTGAAGTGGATACTCTACATTTTGAGAAAACAGAGAAAATGCATGCACAATTTGTTGGGGTCTAGTTACTAGATTCCGTAATGAAACACACTTTAAAACACTTTTTTAAATCCCCTTCAAAAACTTTTTTTTTCTCAGAATGACAAAATTTCATGCGGAATTATTTCACAGGGTTTTTGGTACGAGTCCGATCTCCACATTGAACAAGGATTTTGTCAGTAGAAGGTAGAGTAGATCATTTGCAGCTATCCAAAAAGTAACTGATGAAATTATTATTGAAAAGCTCACATTGTTTAAAGAGATAGTAATGGCACTAGACTCCCTGTGAAATTATTCTTTCTGGCATGCTGTCATTTGGAAGAAAACACTAAAAGAAGGCCATTTCCAAAGATGCGTCAAGTGACGCATTTTGGGAATATTCCGTTAGTAGTTGGTTTGTAATTTGGCGAATCCATGAATGGGTTCGCGCAAGCGTTGACATGACGCACAGGCGACGTCTGCAAGGTTGCTATTATTTAAGTTGGTTCAGCGCATGACATCTGTGATGTGATTTTGGATTGTATCAAGCTTATCCAAGAATGATACCAATAGTGGGTGTTTACAAAGCGCACGTACCTTCCAGGTACCAGCGCTCATGGTGCTACATCATTATTACCCCTGCTCATTGGGCCAATTAAACATTCCAAATACCATAACAGCTCTCTGGGGAGTATACAGATCCATGCAGCCTGTTAGGCGCAAGGAAGCTAATTCAACCACAATAACCATCTCTGGCCTCACAGGTACCCACTTACTCCTGGGTGGAGAGAAGCAATGAGTGACAAAGTGCCTTGCCCAAGGGCACATGCACCATGACCCCAGGCTGGACTCGAACCCACGGCCTGCAGCTTTACCCACAGACCACGAATCCAATGCCCGTAACATGAAAAGTAACACTGTGAAACAATGACCAAATAGTGTACTCACCTACTAAGGTCATGATTCATGGAAGCGACAAAGCCACCGACAGAGCGCCCTCTAGTGGCGGAGTCATGATAAGAGTCGATTCCAACCACCATCATTAACATTTTGGACTGAAGGTAATAAATGGAAAGACAAACGGAGACAGAATGAGCCAAAGACAAAGCTATTTAACTTTTGTAGAACACCAATTCATTGTATTGCAAGCATGCATCGATACATGAATTCACTGGAACTTGTGAATAAACTCAAAAACTGTAATAGGGTACATGTGTGACAGGATTTTTTTTATGTTTTTACTATCTGGCTATTTCTTTTATGTTTAAAGCAGTTTCTTAATTGTGTAATTTCTTATTCTTTAACTTGCTTCATTGAGCACTGAAATAGCTGTTTCTTCTTTAAGTGTGGATCATGAATAATTCATTAGGTAGACCACAAAGCACTTCCTGTGGTACCCACTTCTGAGACATGTGGCTTATCTAGCCATTCCTTCAGTTGATGCAAGGCAGTCCACACACAGTCATTTTATCACTCTTGTTACATGCTCGTTTAACCCAAAGTTCTGAGGCTAGAAGAATCCTTGTTGTTGAAGATTTGTGCTAATACCAACCCTTTTTTTTGTGGTGTAAATTAGGAGTTAATAAATTACATCCAACCTCTAGAAAAGAATCTTTGCTGTCACACATGTAAAACTATCTGCCCAAAGCAACTAACTTACAAAAAGTGAAACATTTACATAAAATGTAAAGGAATTCTCCAACTCTTTATTTGGCTGTGTAGATGGACAAATGCTCACAATAAGATAAAGATTTACGGTAGCACTATATGTATGTGACAAATCTCTTTTACGAGTTTGTGAGGTTCTGAAAAGAACCAGGGAGAAACTCAATGTTTTCATTCATTCATCACTTTTACTGCAGTAGAGAAAATAAGAGTTTTTCTCCCTTCGATACAACGTTTTAGCAGGACGATTTTGAGGTCGTCAGAAAATCCTTGCGCTGGATGTCTGCTTGGCAGAACTTGTCTAGGGTCAAGCCCGTCTGTGAGAGAACTTGCTGTTGTGAAGCCCGACAATCCCATTTTTTGTACTTGTCATCAGTGAGCAACAGCCATTTTTGTGCGGACTAAGTGTGCCATGTACTTCACTTGAAGACCCTGGACAAACTCTGATAAAGGCTGTGTCTTGCAAATGTCATAGATGGCCTCGTGACTTGATCTCAGTTGGTTTGTTTTTCCAGAGTACACACATCCTAGTGTGTCACAGAAATTAGACTGGCCACTGATTACTTTTATGTAATGATAGCAAGGCCGTAGTCTGGGAATATGACTCAAAAATCATCTTTTGAACTTGAACTTAAAGTAGCACATGTATTACATGTACATTGTAAAGCTGTGTGTGTATTCGAGCAGCTCGCCCAGATCGACTCGGGTAAAGTCACACAGGTTAGCCATGAAAGCAGGGCTAATCGAACGCTCAAACGCGAGCCATCACGATCCTCATGTGACGTCTGTAGCTGTGGCCGTAGCCATTGACAAAACGCCCTTTTCAGACTGAGTCTTACCATTCCTTTCCACATGGCCTTACTTTGAGATTTACGCTTTTCCGTCAATTGCAAAAAGTAACAAAATCAGGCTGGAATTAGCGGCCTCTAAAGTTGCACTGAACTCAAATAAAATGATTATGTTCAGACTTCAAATAAAGTTGATTTCAGGGTCCATCTTTATGGCTGTCCGGCTGCCTTATTTGTCCATGTCTAGGATTGAACAACGCATGCGTGTGACCAAGGGCGGAAATCGCTCCTTGAACGTGGGGGGGACAGGGTTTTTTTTTTCTCCCCGAAATTATATTACTCACAAAAAGTCACAGGCTGAACGGACAACTTTTCACTTGTAATATTGCCATGGGGTATGGCAGCCATAGCGACAGACTTGAAATCAAGTCTGTAATGAGTGGTTTTAATCGCGTCCGCCGCAAGGGCGGATCCAGAACACAATTTTTTTAGGGGGGGGCCAAAAAAAAGTTTGGTCCCCCAAAAAAGTGGGTCCAAAAAATTACGGCGTGGGGTTTCGGGGCCCGCTTAAGGGACCCGAAAAATTTTTGGATTCTAGATGCTCTGTGATGCGATCTGAGGCAATTTCTGACCACTTTTACCAATGTTTTTTTGAGGAAAAGATGGGGGTGAACTCATTGCCTGCCTTTATTGCGATGTCACATAAAAAAAAAATTGGTTTCGTTTTTTTTTTGGGGGGGGGGGGTCATGGCCCCCTTGATAATGCAACAATATATTTCTAAACCTCATTGTGTGCATCGGGCATTTTGTCATTGCGGTTCTGTAACCTTAAAAATGGGCAAAAACCGCGATCGAGTTCGTTTTCAGGGTGACTAGTTAAACTACAACAAACCACATGGGCCAAAAGGAGCTTACGTTTACAGTCGGCGCGCACTTCATTTTTTGAAGGGGATTTACAATTATTCGTAACAGTTTCAACTTCCATAATTACTTAAATATTACTCCTTTTATTCAAAAACAGTTGCCAAAGTACTAATATTATCTACAATGTTATACGCTTTTTTACTGTAATTTTAAAAACAGGACTGCCAAATAAAATGGAAACTTGAAAATGATCGTGTAATAATTACCCCCATATTTATAATGGTGTTTCTTCGTAAGGCAGATGGGCTACTATTGGCCCTCGCTATGGAAACATCATGCATATGCATTGCAGTGGCTGCATATATGAATATTCGCTTGAAAACGTCTTAGTCAAGTCGTTAGACACAGACTGACCATGCCGAGCGTTAGTACATGTACATGACTTTTGCATGAATGGTTGTAGCGCTGACGATGCATGAACGGCGGTGGTATGCAGATTTTGGCGCTGATCGATGACGGACATAAACCACTATAGGCTAACGACTTGTCATCAAGTCTACCATAGCGATTGCGGGCCGGAGTGGGGCCGAATTTGGTATAGGAGTAGCAAATTATATGACGTACGCAGGCAACATTGTGTATAACGTATACCGCATGAACCAACACGCACGTACAGTACATGTATGTGGGTAGGCTAGGCGTACAAGAGCCGTGGTCGAACCGACAAGAAAACCAAATTGGTTCTCAGCCACAAAGCGACATATCAAAGAGGCTTTTCCCTAAGACTCTGCCATGGTTGGTCACCCACCCATACCTACACATGAAAACATGGAGGGGACATTCGACATTGTGTCCCCCCTTACCAAATTCATGGGGGGGACGTGTCCCCCCCGGGATTTCCGCCCATGCGTGTGACATATTTCCACCACTGACTCCACTCCACGAGCAGGGTCCGTGGTGGCTGACCCGGGTAAGGCCTGAGAATGATATCAGAGCTAATCGAACGGCACGGGGCTATAACCCGAGTCAACCCGGGGGAGCTAATCGAATGCACCCAATAGTAATACTCCTTGTTGAAGCCTTAAAACTGTTAAGTACTGGGGCGGTACAAGGAGTAACAGGCAGGGTACTTTGGGGTGGTACTTGGACTAATGGCTTAAGGTGGTATTGACTCATGATTGAGCCTGCCACGAACAATAAAACATGTTTGCCAACGTTAGCCAAAAATTCTCATTTGGATACAACAAAAACAACTGCCAACATTGACGTCTTTGGGAAACAACCTTGTTTGGAATTTCAAGTTAAAAACTATCAATTTTCTGGACATGATTTTAAAAAAATGAAAAAATAACAAGTGCACTGCTCATACATATACATGAGATTGAATAGCATTGCACAACTTACTGGAATTAAAACTGTCCACAGCTCTCCGCCCATCTTGCAGTTAATTTGCATAGCAATCTTGGTAGCTACAGACATGACGGTCTGTTTCTTGTTGATAGTGCGACCCACAATGCACTGGCTGGGTACCGGCGCCTCTAGACAGCAGAACTTCTTGATGGCGTCGTAGCGATCCTTACGAATAGTTGGTAGGATACACACAACCTGGGTAACGGTGGAACAAAAAAGTAAACAAAATTCTGAATACTACTGGTCAAAGTGCTTATTAGGCTTTGAGAAAATAAGGCAATTAGGCGACTGAGCATGCAAGTTCACTTCAAAAAAACAACAGCTTCCAATGACATTTGATGGGAATACTAGCCTTGGTCATGACCAAGTCTGTCTACTTGTTCCCATAACAAGCGGCCGCTACATATTAGCCTGATTTGCGTACCCGTTGCAACGGGTACGCAAATCAGGCTACATGTGAATTGCCACTGTACATGTGAATTGCCACAACACTGCGCCGTGCACAGTAGCCTCAACGATCCCCTTGCTTATCTGCACGCTTAATTACGCCCCACACACATTATCTAACCTTTCCCCAACAGTTGAGGTGAAAGACAGCCTTTTAATTGACGCAAAGTATATGCTCACCATGATAAGTAGTTCGGGCTATGGTAAACAGTCTTCTCTCAGGGAACAAGTAGACAGACTTGGTCAAGGCCATGGGAGTACAGGCTTTCAAGTCAAAATTGAGAAGGCAGCCTTTAATCACACTCACCATCTGTGTCTGGGGACTCAAGTTCTGTCGGATAGCACGAATGAAGCTTTCGGTTCGGTCTTCACGTAACTCACATCTAAAGAACACCAAACAAATAATGAGAGAGAGAAGAAGGATAGCAATCAATTCTGCACTTTAAAGCCCTTCAAGATTGGCAAAACCACTTTAGCCAATCGAGTTGGCATCCACACTTCAAAATATTTTGAGGCAATCTTCTGTGGAGTACGGAAACACTTCAAATCCCTGCACAATGTTTCGGTGTCATTAAGCTCATGGCAAGCAGGCAGATTCAGTCATGCTTCACTGCTCTCCACAGTGCAGTTTTTTGCAACTTGAGACTCAGACTCGGACTCGACCAAATTGCTTTCAAACCTGGACTCAGACTCGACCCAATTGCTTCCAAACTTGGACTCAGACTCGTTCCAATTGCTTACAAACTTGGACTCAGACTCGACCCATTTGCTTCCAAACCTGGACTCAGTCTTGACCCAACTGCTTCCAAACTTGGACTCAGACTCGACCCAACTGCTTCCAAACCTTGACTCAGACTCGACCCAGTTGCTTCCAGCTTGGACTCCAGACTCGACCCCATCACTTCAAAACTTGGACTCGGACTCGACCTAACTGCTTCCAAATTTGGACTCAGACTCGACCCAATTGCTTCCAAACTTGGACTCATACTCGACCCTATTGCTTCCAAACTTGGACTCAGACTCGACCCAATTACTTCCACACATGGACTCAAACTCGACCCAATTGCTTCCAAACTTGGACTCAGACTCGACCCAATTGCTTTTAAACTTAGACTCAGACTCAACTCAATTGCCTCAACACCTGGAGTTGGACTCAACTCAAATAACCCAACTAACTATCTTGTAAGCAGTCTTACATTAAGGGTGGTCTGGTTTCCATTCCCAAACGTGGCGCCACGGTGTTGAAGGCGTTCAGGAATTCCATGGCGTTCTTGCTATCACGCGCTGTGTAGATCAGCAGCCAGTTGTGCAGACCAATACAGCTCAGCAGATCCTTCCGCAGATCTCTGCTCCACTCTGCATTCTCACCCAAGGAAATCTCCTGTTGGTGTTTACAGGCATATAGGATTATTTTCTTTCCATGCATTTTGTTCAACATTCCAGAGAAGAATATCCAAAATTTAAGCTGTTGAAGTTTCAGCTGTGGATATTACACTTTGCGAGAAAAGAGTGAAAAACCATGCACAACCTTTTGATAATGAAACATTATTTTGTCTACAGATCTCTTTATTTTCCGAAAAATTAGTCAATTGACTGATCGTTGGATATCACCTACATTTCTTGATTTCTTCTAAATGACAGCAAGCCAGACAAAACAATTTTACAGATTGTTTAGTACCAGTACAATCTTTAATCCAAGTAAGCATCTTAATAATAATTCAGGTTACTTTTGAGACAAATGCAAATAATCCTCTATGCCTTTAAGAAGCGCTGACAACGATCATTTATAAGCAAACGAAACATAGTACTGATTTCACAAATCTCATTATTCCAATGCCTGTTCTTTTTCTTTTCAAATACTTTGAGGATTGTTATCAATTACCCAGAAAAGTTTCTAATGATTCAATGTCAGTATAAACCTTGCTCAAAGTAAAGAAAGGACTGGTATCAACTATCCTGAGAAATTATTCCAACTCAAATGCTAAGCTGAAACTTCAAAAGGTTAGTTTTTAGGCACCCTTCTTTAATATGAACACTTTTGTTGCTCCAAAAAAAAAAAGGAAATAGAAAGTATCCAACAAACTTTTCTAGCCGATTTCACCACAAATGTTTCGTGTTGTCAAATTCACTTCGCATTCACAAAAACTACATGTAACTTATAAACTGGTCTTCAGCTCAACTTCCCAATCTCTTTGTCAGACTCACATTCTTTCCCTGGTGACCGGTGAGGATTTTCTCCCGATCCATGATGCGAGCGTTGATCCTGACTGGCTGAGCTTCAAAGCTCACCTGCCACTTTTGCAGGTAAGTACTCGCCTCTTGATTCCTGAAAGAAGGTTAAGAACACAGGTCACAAATCATTATTTTTCTGGGCCCGAATCAAATATTTTTGCGATTTTGGCATTCATTTTTGCCATTGACAAGCTATGTTTTCAATTACCAGCAAAGGTCCAGTCTATGCACTGAGTATACAGTGTTTATACATCTGTGAAGGGCAAAACCTAATATTAAAAGTCCACTCTGTAAAGCATACACATTATTATATTTCATGTCACCAGTATTGTGGTTGAGTCACTTCAGGGTCGAGTCCGAGTCGGAGTCTCAAGTCAATGGACCGATCCAGTAAGCACCGCCCCATTGTATTCTGACCAATCACAGCCGTGATTTATGTCCGACGTGCGTGCACAAAAGTCCGAAATGCGTGCACGCGTGTATGATGTGCGCGGCAGGAAAATGCAGTGTGGCATTGGAGAGGAGCACGTGTTAATTTGCCCACGTGCGCAGTGGGAGGGGCTTACTGGATCGGTCCATTGGGTCGTGGCTGAGTCCAAATCCAAGTCCAAGCGACGAGTCATTTGATTCTAGTTTGAGTCCGAGTAACATTTATATAAAATGGATGAAATATCTATGGATCAATGGATTTGAAGAAAGCGATTGGGTCAAGTAGACATGATCACCATGGAGTCCAACCCTCGAGTTGGGGGGCGGACTATAAACAGATGGATGATGGATGGATGTGAATCAGGATGGACTCACTTAAAGTGATATGTAATATATGAGATGTCGCAGGATATAGGGAGGGGTGCATTTAATGACAAACTGTCATCATTTACAACACCACCTGGAGTGAGGTGTGGTACATTTCATGTGCTTAACGTTCTTTAGTGTTACTGAAATGTTACTTCTGGGGGAAAAAAGAAATATGCTTAAATGGTTTGTTTTTGGTGTAAATAAATATATGATTCACTGCTCACGTGTCCTGAGTCATTAGTGTCAAATCGGAGTCATGATGGCCGAGTCTGAATCCAAGCCCAAGTCTTTTGCCTATGTGACTCGAGTCGAGTCAGAGTCAACAAAATTGCGACTTGAGACAGACTTGAATACGAGTCCTGGGCTCCAGTTCTACATCACTGGATGTCACTGAGTCAAAATAAATACACTCACACGCTGGGCAGGTTATTTTTGTGTAAAGTGCTGGCTTACTGTTAAAATGGCGCACAAAAGTTTTGCTGAATGTAGATTACCATCAATTGTTATTTAACAAAATTTTTCCGGATGTAAGGAAAAATAAACCTTACTGACCTGGGAAAGCTGCCGATGAAGTTGGTCAGCTCTTTCATGCGGACGTTGGGCGTGATGCGTGTGTACACAGACAGGTCCTTCATGACGTGGAAATCACTGCGCATAGCTTCGCTGAGCCCCGTCAGGGTACACAGCTCAGGGATCAGGTGGATGTGATCAATCATTCCCCGGCGCTGATCCTATTACAATAAAAAAACACAAATAAATCTGCCTGTGATTATGGACTGGCTCCTGGTCCTTACTTTGTGGTTGACGGGCGAGTGTTGTGTGAAATTTGGACTCTATGAAATACAGATACATTAGTTGTATTACGCATGCCTAATAGTGAAGATAATTAGGACAGTGACAGATTTAATGTTCTATTCAACGAGGCGAAGCTGAGTTGAATGGAACACTCCATCTTTCAACGAATGAAAATATTCTCACAATAGCACGAATGCAAGATATTCATTATTTGTTTTGTATAACAACCAATTAGATCTTCGTCATTTGATTGGAGGATAAGACTTGAAGAACAAACAAAACTCACAAAAGTGCACCATATCCACTACTTTTTTCAGCTTGGTCAAGGCTAACAGAGGTTTAAAAGTCAAATCATTGACCATAATGAAAATCAACACTGTAATTTCTTAATCCAATGCAAAAAAAACCCCATCTTTGCAACTGCATCAACTTCAAAGGCAAGTTTTGTACTGCCTTTATGCATGATAATGGTTTAAATAGCGCAAAGATTGTATAGCGTTAGGCCGCTGCGCGTCGTAGAGTGCGCGCGGCGTGCAATAGATCGAAAGGGATGGGACAAAAATGCAGGGTGAATGGAAACAAAAATGAATGGTTATGACATAGGCCGTGCAATGGTTTGTTTATTGAATGCCCCTTAACCTACAATCCTCCAATCAAATGACAAGGATTTACTTGGGTGTTATATAATGCCATTTCAATAAGATCTGAAATAACTTACCCTTTTCTTTGGATTGCTGACCAGCAGTGGCTGTCCTAGATCACTGATATTTAGCCCGTACGCGTCCCGGTAGTACTGGGCGTAGGTTATTTTAGTGCCGTCCAACTTGTCGAATGTGTTCATGGGATCGATATTAAAGTCGATGTCGTCCACTCGGTAGGTCTTGTTGTTGTACCTGAATGACAGCCATGCAGAATTTATTTGGTTACTTTTTTATCCAACCCCAACCTCTCTCAGTCCACTGATCTTATCAACCAGGCATGCAACTGGGAAGTCACAAAAAAAGAGGAAATTGAAATCTTTCCAAGACTTTGAACAGTGTTTTTCTAGTGAAAAAAAGAGGAAATCAGCTGATCCGAAGAGAAGTTGCATGCCTGATCAACTGATCTCAACCTAACTGATCCAAACAACTGATCCAAACCCAACTGATCCAAACCAACTGATCCAAACCCAACTGATCTCAACCCAACTGATCCAAACCCAACTGATCCAAACCCAACTGATCCAAACCAACTGAACCAAACCCAACTGATCCAAACCAACTGATCCAAACCCAACTGATCCAAACCAACTGATCCAAACCCAACTGATCCAAACCCAACTGATCCAAACTCAACTGATCCAAACCAACTGATCCAAACCCAACTGATCCAAACCCAACTGATCCAAACCCAACTGATCCAAACCCAACTGATCCAAACCCAACTGATCCAAACCCAACTGATCCAAACCCAACTGATCTCAACCCAACTGATCTCAACCCAACTGATCTCAACCCAACTGATCCAAACCCAACTGATCCAACCCAACTGATCCAAACCCAACTGATCCAAACCAACTGATCCAAACCCAACTAATCTAAACCAACTGATCCAAACCCAACTGATCCAAACCCAACTGATCCAAACCCAACTGATCCAAACCAACTGATCCAAACCCAACTGATCCAAACCCAACTGATCTCAACCCAACTGATCCAACCCAACTGATCCGAAACCCAACTGATCCAAACCCAACTGATCCAAACCAACTGATCCAAACCCAACTGATCCAAACCAACTGATCCAAACCCAACTGATCCAAACCAACTGATCCAAACCCAACTGATCCAAACCCAACTGATCCAAACCCAACTGATCCAAACCCAACTGATCCAAACCAACTGATCCAAACCAAACTGATCCAAACCAACTAATCCAAACCCAACTGATCTCAACCCAACTGATCCAAACCCAACTGATCCAAACCCAACTGATCCAACCTAACTGATCCAAACCCAACTGATCCAAACCAACTGATCCAAACCCAACTAATCCAAACCAACTGATCCAAACCCAACTGATCCAAACCCAACTGATCCAAACCAAATGATCCAAACCCAACTGATCCAAACCCAACTGATCCAAACCCAACTGATCCAACCCAACTGATCCAAACCCAACTGATCCAAACAACTGATCCAAACCCAACTGATCCAAACCAACTGATCCAAACCCAACTGATCTCAACCCAACTGATCCAAACCCAACTGATCCAAACCCAACTGATCCAAACCAACTGATCCAAACCCAACTGATCCAAACCAACTGATCCACACCCAACTGATCCAAACCAACTGATCCAAACCCAACTGATCCAAACCCAACTGATCCAAACCCAACTGATCCAAACCAACTGATCCAAACCCAACTGATCCAAACCCAACTGATCCAAACCCAACTGATCCAAACCCAACTGATCCAAACCCAACTGATCCAAACCCAACTGATCCAAACCCAACTGATCTCAACCCAACTGATCTCAACCCAACTGATCTCAACCCAACTGATCCAAACCAACTGATCCAAACCCAACTGATCCAAACCCAACTGATCCAAACCCAACTGATCCAAACCAACTGATCTCAACCCAACTGATCCAAACCAACGGATCCAAACCCAACTGATCTCAACCAACTGATCCAAACCCAACTGATCTCAACCCAATTGATCTCAACCCAACTGATCCAAACCCAACTGATCCAAACCAACTGATCCAAACCAACTGATCCAAACCAACTGATCCAAACCAACTGATCCAAACCAACTGATCCAACCCAACTGATCCAAACCAACTGATCCAAACCCAACTGATCCAAACCCAACTGATCCAAACCCAACTGATCCAAACCCAACTGATCCAAACCCAACTGATCCAAACCCAACTGATCCAAACCCAACTGATCCAAACCCAACTGATCCAAACCCAACTGATCCAAACCAACTGATCCAAACCCAACTGATCCAAACCCAACTGATCCAAACCAACTAATCCAAACCCAACTGATCTCAACCCAACTGATCCAAGCCCAACTGATCCAAACCCAACTGATCCAACCCAACTGATCCAAACCCAACTGATCCAAACCAACTGATCCAAACCCAACTAATCTAAACCAACTGATCCAAACCCAACTGATCCAAACCCAACTGATCCAAACCAACTGATCCAAACCCAACTGGTCCAAACCCAACTGATCTCAACCCAACTGATCCAACCCAACTGATCCGAAACCCAACTGATCCAAACCCAACTGATCCAAACCAACTGATCCAAACCCAACTGATCCAAACCAACTGATCCAAACCCAACTGATCCAAACCAACTGATCCAAACCCAACTGATCCAAACCCAACTGATCCAAACCCAACTGATCCAAACCCAACTGATCCAAACCAACTGATCCAAACCCAACTGATCCAAACCCAACTGATCCAAACCAACTAATCCAAACCCAACTGATCTCAACCCAACTGATCCAAACCCAACTGATCCAAACCCAACTGATCCAACCCAACTGATCCAAACCCAACTGATCCAAACCAACTGATCCAAACCCAACTAATCCAAACCAACTGATCCAAACCCAACTGATCCAAACCCAACTGATCCAAACCAACTGATCCAAACCCAACTGATCCAAACCCAACTGATCCAAACCCAACTGATCCAACCCAACTGATCCAAACCCAACTGATCCAAACCCAACTGATCCAAACCCAACTGATCCAAACCCAACTGATCCAAACCCAACTGATCCAAACCAACTTATCCAAACCCAACTGATCTCAACCCAACTGATCTCAACCCAACTGATCCAAACCCAACTGATCCAAACCAACTGATCCAAACCCAACTGATCCAAACCAACTGATCCAAACCCAACTGATCCAAACCGACTGATCCAAACCCAACTGATCCAATCCCAACTGATCCAAACCCAACTGATCCAAACCCAACTGATCCAAACCCAACTGATCCAAACCCAACTGATCTCAACCCAACTGATCCAAACCCAACTGATCTCAACCCAACTGATCTCAACTCAACTGATCTCAACCCAACTGATCCAAACCCAACTGATCCAAACCCAACTGATCCAAACCAACTGATCTCAACCCAACTGATCCAAACCAACTGATCCAAACCCAACTGATCCAAACCAACTGAACCAAATCCAACTGATCTCAACCCAACTGATCCAAACCCAACTGATCCAAACCCAACTGATCCAAACCAACTGATCCAAACCCAACTGATCCAAACCAACTGATCCAAACCCAACTGATCCAAACCAACTGATCCAAACCCAACTGATCCAAACCCAACTGATCCAAACTCAACTGATCTCAACCCAACTGATCTCAATTGACCGATCACAACCCAACTGATCTCAACCAAACTGCTCTTAACCCACCTGACCTTGACCTATTTGATCCAAACCCAACTGATCCAAACCCAACTGATCCAAACCAACTGATCTCAACCCAACTGATCCAAACCAACGGATCCAAACCCAACTGATCTCAACCAACTGATCCAAACCCAACTTCTCTCAACCCAACTGATCTCAACTCAACTGATCTCAACCCAACTGATCCAAACCCAACTGATCCAAACCCAACTGATCCAAACCAACTGATCTCAACCCAACTGATCCAAACCAACTGATCCAAACCCAACTGATCCAAACCCAACTGATCCAAACCCAAGTGATCTCAACCCAACTGATCTCAATTGACCGATCACAACCCAACTGATCCAAACCCAACTGATCCAAACCCAACCGATCCAAACCCAACTTCTCTCAACCCAACTGATCTCAACTCAACTGATCTCAACCCAACTGATCCCAACCCAACTGATCCAAACCCAACTGATCCAAACCAACTGATCTCAACCCAACTGATCCAAACCAACTGATCCAAACCCAACTGATCCAAACCCAACTGATCCAAACTCAACTGATCTCAACCCAACTGATCTCAATTGACCGATCACAACCCAACTGATCTCAACCAAACTGCTCTTAACCCACCTGACCTTGACCTATTTGATCCAAACCCAACTTCTCTCAATCCACTGATCACAACCCAACTGATCTCAATCCACTAATATCCAATGCCGTAGCCAGGGTTCTCATCCTAGGGTGGGGAGGGGGGGGGGGCATGTGGGGTGGGTCTTGAGGTTACAAAGGTAGACAAGGTTTTTCCACTGGACACCCGCCCTCTGTACAACCAAATAGTGTGGGGGGGGGAGGAGTGACACTATCTTCCCATGGGGGGGGGGGGGGCGTTCAAAATGTATATCATGGCTACATTAGACAATAACTACCGCTATTCGCTTCTAAGGGACGTTTACAATAAACAGCCACTCGCAAAAAAAAAAGTTTTGCTTTTGAAAGTTTCACAGAAAAAAGGGAATTTATGTTCTTTCAGCTAATCGTGGTAACTCATATGGCTGTGCTTTCTCCGGATGCCAAATTTTCTGTGTTTTTTTTATGGGGGGGGTGGGTGCCCCCCCCCCCCCACACCCCCCTTTAGTCATTGCTTATATCACCCAAAACTAATCTAAACCCAAACACCATCCATTCACTGATAATCTCAACCCAACTGATCCCAACCTAGGCCGACCCAACCCTACCAAACCAAATCAAGCCAAAGCCAATTCAACTAAACAGAACTAAACCGAAATGATCTAAAGTCAACCAGGTCATACTCTAACAAACAAAATTGAACTGAATCAATGCAAACCAAATCAAACACAACTGAGTTGATACGAACTGAACCGAACCAAACCATTCCGATCTCAACCATACCAAAGTGATTAGAACGGAACCGAACAGAACCGAATACATCGGACTAAAAAAAACCAAACTCAAGTGAACTGAACTGATATACAAGGTGAGTCAAAAGAAAAAGAAACCCAAATGTCGGGATAATTGTTTTAGTGAAGTTCTGCATGTAGCACTTTCAAAATCTAGGATATGAAAGCCCAATTCATATAAAGCTTTCTTTTGAGTACAAGAATCGTTCAAATCACTCATGCAATTTTCAAGTTAGGGAAATTTAAACACAACCACTGTTTTAAAGTTCTGTCCATGGATCACAAAAAGGTAAGCGTTCTTTCAGCAAAACGAAACTGAATCACATATAGGGATGTGAAAGAACGCACACCTTGTTTGTGATCCGTGGACAGAACTTTAAAGCGTTGGTTGTGTTTAAAAATCTGCAACTTGAAAAGTACGAGAGCAATTTGAATTATTCTTGTACTAAAAGAAAGCTTATGAATTCGGCTTTGATATCCTAGATTTAGAAAGTACTACATGCAGAACTTCATGAAAACAACAGTCCCAACATTTGGGTGTTTACTTTTTTTTGACTCACCCTGTATGTACCAAACTTAACCCAATTGAACTGATGGATCTGAAATTGACCACACCTAACTAACTCAATCCAACCAAACAGACCTGATCTGAAACAAACTTAACCAAACAATGCTGTTTCCTCACTTGGTCAGGACAATTTCTCCTGCCAGTACTCTCTTGGCCACATCCCTCCAGCCTGCTCCCTTGGTCTGCTCAATCTCAGCCAGCATGTCCAAGACTGTCTCCGTCCTCAGGATCTTGTGAGAGACGTCCGCCATCAGGAGGACCTCCTGCTCATACTGCAAGATGGAGGTGATGAAACCAGGCAGGAGCTGGATCCTGGAGGGATGAGGGGAGAAATGACGGAGAGAAAGGAGCATCAAGGAAAGTGGAACAATCAACACAATAAAAAACAGTCTTAAAAACTGTGTAAGCATAATTTAATTTGTTTCTGCCATTGTAAACATTTGATCTGCCATATTGTCGCTTTACTCACAAAGTGACAAAAACCTCGAAAATCGATAACTGTTCGATTTTGAGTTTTACTAGCCTTTTTATTATAGTTGTCTCAAGGAACAATTTGACCAAGTTTCAAAGCGAAAAATTGTTTACTTTCTTACTTATTGTAAACAAAATTTGACAAAAAGCCTGAAATCCGTGTTTTTGTTTTTACGAAGTGTAAAAAGTGTAAAATGTTTTCACGAAGTGACAGAAAGTCACCTCGTGGGCAGGGCCGGAGGAACTACACATTGGTCTTCACGCGTCAGGATGGGAGCATACACGTGCGCGCGAACGTTGTTGAAAAAGGACAGACGCGCGTGCACTCAACTGTCGTATGACGCGTAAAAGTTGCAAGTTTGTTGCATCGACTAAAGTACAAATAAGTAAAGCCTCCGCGATTCATGTTCCCACGAAGTGACAAAAACTGTGTGCAAAGTAATGGGGAAAATATGGGACCCAAAGTATTGATGTTTTCACAAAGCGTAAACAAGTTTTATTAATGAATTACTGTTTAATTTAATTATTTATTTGTAACAAACAACTATGAATTAGCAAAGAGCAAATCATAAGCTATGGGACAATGCAAACATTTCCAAATTCTTTTACTGCGAAGTAGTCGAAAATGTCTTTTGAAAAAATAAATAACTTCAAATGCGATTGTTTCTGGATGAACTTTTGTCGATTTTTAAAGTTTTTGTCACTTCGTGAGCAAAGCAACAATATGTGACCTACTGTGGCAAAATGAGGAATGTCCCCCAAAACAATGTAATCAACTCCTGAAATCAATGTTGGTTTTTTTTTATTTTTGAAAAGCCAAGTTATCCAAGATTCACACTTTGCCTTTTTGTTGGGAACAAATATCCCCAAAAGTTGGAAACTGAAGAACGTTTTCCACTGCCGTTTGCAGCGCAATGTGCATTTCTTTCTTCAAAGCCGTTTTTCTCGAAATGAGGTTGGTAAAATTTGGTGGGACACTGATGAAGTTCCTGCGGCATATCTTGGGAGTACATTAAGCTACAGAAACAAATTTGGTATCATTTGAACGCTAATGATTTACGCTTTAACATGATGTATGTAACTTGAAAAGTCAAAGGGGGGGGGGGGGGGTTTATTCCTCATTATGATATGGCAGGTGACATATAGCAAGTCTACATAGGCCAACATGTGCAGTGTCAAATTTCCTCACTTTACTACCAAACCTGCAAAAATGAAAGATGTTTTGCAAAATCCACACAAAAGGCTCTCATATTTAATGGCAATCCATATTTCTGCTTCATGGCTCTGTCTATTACTATATACAATCTCCGCTACTTCAAACAATTTTTAAAGAAACTCAAAGCCAAGCTGACCTATGGCTACAGATATTTCACATCTACGTTCAACTTACGACATGAGCTAAATGGTTTCACTTACTTGTGTTGCTGGATTTCCCTTTTGGCGTTGGGGTTGAAATAGTTCCGGCCAATCTGCTCAAAGCCAACCAATCCAAGAATCCTAAAACAGTGAAAGTAACAATGTGATAAAAAATTGCGAGCACGAATTACGCTTCACTGAATTCCTTAAAAAAATATACTTCAAAATTGTATCTTTGTTTTTAAGAGGCCATGAACTGAAATTTACACTTGAACATTTTGTGCAAATAGCTTAGAAGGCATTGTAAAGGTGCATCTTTGTCACTGTTAACAACTTGTTGATAATTTTCAAAATAAAGTATTATTTCCATAAAACAGAAATAAAATGACAGCAAACTAATTACTTTCCTACTTTTCCACACAGACTCAACTTTCTTCAAAGTTTTGGAGATTTGTCAATCAAATTTGTCATTTTTCACAAAGGAGAATACAAATAATCATTTCTGATTGATTTCTAAGTCAATTCTGACTGATTGTTTCAGCTTTTCACGGATGGTCATTATTTAGTATGCCATTAAATAAAAACCCTGGGTCTTACGTGTTCTTTAACCCTAATCCTCCAAAATCCTCTGGATGGTTTTTGGAGGATTGAGGATGAATGGTGGAATTTTTGCGTCAGGGTGATAAATTAACTTATAGGTTTTGCCCTTCACCGACGTTTAAACACTGTATACTCAGTGTGTTACCTCCCGAGTGAAAGTTGGAAAAAATCACTCGGGTGGGACTCGAACCCACGACCTCAGACGTCTGCACTAGAAAGCAGGAGGTCGTGGGTTCGAGTCTCACCCAAGTGATTTTTTCCATCTTTCACTCTGGAGGTTACACACTGAGTATACAGTGTTTAAACGTCGGTGAAGGGCAAAACCTATAATTTGAGGATGAATGGTGTTTGAGAAACATGAAGATTTTGGAGGATTGAGGATGAATGGTGTTTGGAGGAGGATTTTGGAGGATTGAGGATGAATGCATTTTTTTGTCTGACAATTTTGAAGGATTGAGGCGCAGGGTAACCTACATTTGAACATAAGTGCAGCATTTTGGAGGATTGAGGATGGTTCCCAGCAAAAAGACCCTCGGGGGTTTAGGGTTAATTTTAGCAACGATGAAAAAAAGAGCAAACCTACTTGCGGAAGATGATGTTGTAAACCTGCATGCAGGTTGGTGAGGTAGGAGGCAGCGCATTCTTGAGAGTCACAGTAATGGTGATGATGTCATCAGAGTCACGGCGTTTGGTTTGAAACCTGGTCACCTAGAGTTTGCAAAACAGACAAAAATAAGTATAGAAAATATATGTACATCTCATGAAAACATCTTTACAACTTTGCATCTTGTGTGGAGATTGATTGTTTCTGAAAAATACAACTCTACAGTGTGAGTACAAAACAAATGAAACCCAAATGTCGGGATTATTGTTTCAGTAAAGATCTGCATGTAGCACTTTCAAAATCTAAGATATAAAAGCCAATTCATAAGCTTTCTCTTAGTACAAGAATCATTCAAATCACTCATGTACTTTTCAAGTTACAGAATTTTAAACTCAACCACCGTTTTAAAGTTCTGTTCACGGATCACAAAAAAAGGTGTGCGTTCTTTCAGTAAAACGAAAACAATTCACACACATCCCTATGTGATTTGTTTTCGTTTTGCTTAAAAAACATTTACCTTTTTGTTATCTGTGGACAGAACTTTAGAACGGTGGTTGTGATAAAAATTCTGTAACTTCAAAATTACACTGAGTGATTTGAATGGTTCTTTTACTAAATGAAAGCTTATGTATTGGGCTTTCATATCCTAGATTTTGAAAGTGCTACATGCAGAACTTCACTTAAACAATAGTCCCGACATTTTGGTTTGGTTTTTGTTTTACTACCCTGTAGTGAAAGCCCTGTCACTCTCAGATCCTTAGTTTTGAGGAAGGTATAGAGCCCAGCTAAAATCAACATGGGGCAGGAACAAAGAATGCAACTTTGATTTCCTATACAGCTGAGGATTTTAGAAGATTGAGGGAGGTTCCTAGAAATATGGCATTTATCTCATATTAAGAATATTTCTTTTCAAAATCAGTGACATACTTTTGCCATATAGCCTTGCAAAATCCTCCATTTTTTGCAGAGAGGATTTTGAAAGATTTGGGAAGGTTGGGGTTAAAAAGACATTTTACATCTACTCACCGGCTCATCAAGCCTTCGGAGCAGGAACAACATCATCCCATCAAAGGCCATGGAGGTGCCTAGGATCTCAGAGTGAGCCCGTAGCAGGGCATGACGTGCCCTAGGGTTGTCCACAACGGGGCTGAAGTCCACGCTGTACTGGTGCAGAAGCCACTGATCAGCAGCCTTCATGCGGAAACAGTTGGTCAAGACCTCCACTGGCTTTCCTTTCTTGCCTGGAGGATTATGAGAAAAATGAGTGTTTTTTTTTTAATGTACAATGGAGTTTGTGCACGTGTTCTCACTCAATTGTGACAGAGAGATATGACTTCAAACTCAAATGCTGTTGTTGCTGTGTGGTAGGTGCCTGTGCAAAGGCAATGCTGGATACTGAATCATTCTCTTGTCCCAGACGCTGATTTAGGGCGCAATTTAAAACATGACTAGGCTATTGTCCCTTATTGAATGCAGAAACAAACTTACCTACCAACCAACACAGTGAGCTAAGGCCCAAGGCGTATTTTCATGGCGCCGTGGGAAAAACTGCACTAATGACAAATGATCTACCCTACCTTTAAAGACAGCTTTTAGATGAGAAAATGGAATATTTATTGTAGGGGTGTGAGTGACCACTGATAAAAAAAGCTGAAAACATCTGAAAAAGGTGTAAAAAAGCTGAACTTTGGAAATCTCCTATACTTTTTTACACAGCAAGTGAGGGAAAAAGCTGAAAAAGGCTGAATCCAAAACTAATAAAAATAGCTGAAATCAGCTTTAAAGCTGAGATTTCACACCCTTGTTATTGGCACATCAATCAGGGATTACAGGGCACCAGACCTACCTCTCTTATCAATGGGTCTGGCTGCTTTTTGTTCAGCGTAGCGGAGCTCTGTCTGTCTGCCGCGGCCACTGACTCCCCTCCCTCAGCACCCTGGGCCCCGCCCACGCTCAACGCTGCCATCTGAGCTGTAGGGGGCGCTTCAGCTGGCATTGGTCTCGGGGCATGAGGATGGTAACTCTCGGCCATGGCCGCTCTTTGCTCCATGCTTATAGCAGCTGTGTAACAAAGAAAGTAGTTTAAACAGTGCGAGTATAAACCAGTTGGCGCAAGTCAGATTTCACCCGACCCCTTTAATTGTCTCCTGTGCAGTCATGCATGAAAACTAATCTGGTGAAAATGTCACCAAAAGAGGCAGGAAGAGTTACTCTAAAAACAACATATGAAAATATATATATTGCTACAGAATGAAACTATGGCCAATTATAAAAGTGTATAGTTTTTTTTACTCATACTGTATCTATAGGGTCAATCTATAAATTTGGGGTCCACTTTTTTCCTGTCCCTGTTACATCTGACATCTTGATTTGAATATAGAGCATGTACATGTATATGTAAATTTGCTCGAAGTTTTTTGTGTTAAGTTTCAACCTCCAAAAAATAGATTTTGTTTTTAAATTGCAATTTTTTTAGCAATACAAAAGATAATCACTTTCATCACCAAAAGTTATCACTTTTGTATGAGACATCGCGCAAAAAAATTCCATCCATGCTTATTAACCCTCCTGCTATCTGAACAGTCACAGACAGTCAAACAAATCAATCCTCTTCCCCTGTCATGCCTTTTATACAGGCTAGTCACCAACAGTTAGACCATATTTCAAGCAAGCACTGTGACTAGTCAAATTCAGTCAACCGACAAAAGCAGGCAAGTGTCTGGCACAGCTGGCTTATCAATCACCTACAGTCAAAGCATAGCTGGATCAAGTAAACAGTCACAGCCAGTCAATGCTGCTTTATGTACCGGTAGGCTGGAAGCCCTGAACTGTTGAAAACAGTCAATTGGTTGGCTTTGACTGAAAGGACAACTTGTTTCAGGTTGTATGTTTGCACACTTGCTGCTTGCATAGGAGGGTTAATTAGTTTACAACTCTAAGATTGTTTGCGGCTGACAATAATTCAGGCATGTATTTCATACATTATGGGCACAAAACAACCAAAATAAAAGCAAACATTGTATTTTTTTCAGAGAAAATGAATAAAATAAAAATGCATAAAACTGCTGCAAACACTTTAACTAGATTGACCTGAAATATACAAATCTAAAAATTTAAGCGGCCTGAATGGCGAACTTAATGAGTTCTGGCTTCATATTTTCAGAGGGTTGAAAGTGTTTACAATAGACCAAAAAAGAGTATTTGTCCATCTTAAAGGGAATATACAACATTTGCAAACATTGTAAAACAAAATTACAAATTTTTTATGAAATACCTTACTAGGATGTTGGTAAATGACAGTCTGAAGCATCCTGTAAAATTATGGAACCTGATGTGAAGTCATTTTCAAGAAAGTTGTAATTTTGTATAAATTTCCAACAGTGGTTTTTCCAACACTGTTGGAAAAACATGTTTCAGTCCAAATTTGTTGTGCTCTTGGTTACATGTTCATGAACGGGTGCAGGCCAGCTAGTCTTGTTTCCTAGTTTTCCGGCATCTATAAATTGATCCATTTCATCTTTAGTGGAGTCAGGGAGCCAGACTACTCAAAAATTGTTAAAAGGAAAAAAGAACTATAAAATTCTGACTCACTGGTAGTGTTGCGCCTGCCTACATGAGGACTGTGAACGTTCAACCAATAAAACGGCAAAAGGCACCGGATTTCATAGAAGTCTGCATTTCATGTGACACTGGAAAAGTGTTTAAGATCAGCTAGCCATGTCTTTATCATCCGTTTAAGACCGGCTACGTGACTATGGGCGGCCATTAGGGCAAAAAAGACAAAAAACTAAAATAAAACAAAACCACAAAATTAAACAAACACCACAAAAATAAACGAACAACTCAGAAATAAACGAACAACTCAGAAATAAACGAATATAATTCAGAAATAAACGAACAACTCAGAAATAAACGAATATAACTCATAAATAAATGAGCAACTCAGAAATAAACGAACAATTCAGAAATAAACAAACAATTCAGGAATAAACAAATATAACTCAGAAACAAACGAGCAACTCACAAATAAACGAACAACTCACAAATAAACGAACAACTCAAAAATAAACGTACAACTCAGAAATAAACGAACAACTCAAAAATAAACGAACAACTCAGAAATAAACGAACAACTCAAAAATAAACCATCAACGCAGAAATAAACAATCAACTCAGCGTTAAACGATCAACTCAGAAATAAACGATCAACTCAGAAATAAACGATCAACTCAGAAATATACACGAACTCAGAAATAAACGAACAACTCAGAAATAAACGAAGAACTCAGAAATAAACGAACAACATCCCCAGGGTGTCGAGTAGCAGTACGCGCCCACCATGTACCATACATTACAGAAGTGCAGACGACATAATGTTTACCGCGGCATTCAAAATGGCGGACACCTTGCACCGCTTCACGCGATGAACACGTAGAAAAAACGGAGGGTAAAAACGTAGTGTTTTTTCGTCGACGACCTCCGAAGCCAGAAAGAAGTCTATGCGAAAGGTAAGCCTGGGATGCAGTTTAATTTTTATGATGAAAAACGTTGACTTTGTAAACGTTTACCATGGCATTCCGTCATGTCTAGTCTGTACGTCATGTGTACGAACGGTATGCCAATGCCGGCCGGGTTTGGCCACATGTACTGGGCTGGGATGGCGCGGCGTACGGCACTGCGCCATGCATGACTACGTTGGTCCATGGAGGAATTCCTCCATGGTTGGTCAGACTGGAAAGAATGGGAATTCCATACACGTACGCCACTAGTTTTTCCCTGCAATGACTATACTAGTAGTAGCCACCAGAAGCGGTAACATGTCCTAAAAAGTGATATTTACTGGGAAAATATTGAAATATTTAGTGAGAAAACATAATTTTTCAGACCAGTCTCATTAGACTTGTTTGTAACACCATGGTAACAGGGTGTGAAGTAACCTCCATCTAGGAGGTAGACTATGGGATTCTTTCCCCGGACGGGTATGGTCTATATGTCTTGTTTATTTTTTGAGCATTTTGCCGCTTTAAAGATCAAACGACTTCCGCGACTCTAAAATTGTATTCATAATTCTAATAAAAGAGACTTTTTACCCATTATTTTTCAGTTCGAGTTGAATTTTCTTTAGTATCTTTACGCAACAATTTTTACAAACGCAAAAGGCCCCTTAGCACTAGTATTAATGTTGACCGCGATCGGTTGATCGTGATGCTATCTGTCGATTGCGCTGCCACCAGTCGAACCGCTTCTCAAATACGCCATTGACGTGGTTAGTTAACTGTTTAGCCTGAAATACTCAGTGAACCCCAAATAAACTGGGAACTGCTGTGTGCATATTGCATTATTTTGGTGACCCACAGAAAATATCATGCATTGTGTGTTTGGAAGCAGTGAAAATGAAGAAAAAAATGAATTGGATTTACTTAAACAAAATCAGCAGTTCATATCAGTTCTCTTTGGTTCCACTGGTTGCACAGGGTACAAGGGTAATGGTAGTAATCCGAACAGGATGTCAACATGATGATTAATTTGTAACTCTCAAATTTTGGTTTCAGGACGATTCTAGTAACATGGAAGGGAAGCCTGTGATGAAACAAGATCCTTCCGAGAAGTAATCATGAAGCGGAAAGTACAACTTTAATATGCCTCATTTTCTCATTGGAGCAGACCATTGCAGCCTCATCAGCTGGTTGAGTCTGTTGCAGTAGCATGTGCGACCGTTCAACGGCAAATGGGAAAACAGTGACATTTCCTTGGAGAGAAGATACCCCTAACCTACAGGAAGCATTCAAAAAGTGCGCTGCTATGCTACAATATTTGGCCCTCACTAAATGAAGTAGGCCTAGTTTTTTTTTTCTGTGTAGCCTACATGTACATGTACATGTTGGCCCTACTTAAGTCTTTGTTGTCACTCAAAGTCTAATCCATGTCACATTTGCAGTTCTACATGTACATGTAAATTGTAACTGTACAGCTTCTGCACACAGAAACTAAAAGAGGTGCTACATTTTTTTCTGCAGATATTTGTAAAAATTATTAAATTTAAATAGATACATGCAGTGCTTGATACATGTAAAGTAGCGGCCAAACTCAGATTTCTTCTTTTTGCCTAGTGAGGGCACTGTACCAGAAAGATGGTAACCAAGCTCTCCTTAACAACATAGATTTAGCGTTGCAGAGTTTGCAACTTGTGTGTTAAATTCTTCGCCCAAAGCAATAATCGCTGAGGTTTATTAAACGGTTGGTACAGCAGTTTACTGTTAAACAATTTCTATAAATTATTTAGTGATTAGTGTGATATTTAGTACCGTTTTATAGCCTATAAGTTGCATTTTCAACGCATTTGTTGGTTGCATAGTCACGGTATTGTGGAACCTGTTAAAAGCACATGTACTGCAGGTCGAGATTTATACAGGGTGTACCTAAACCCTTCTTGCATTTAGACATCAGTATTCTTTTAATGTGGAGTAGCTAGTATAAATGCAAATTGTTGGACTGGAACTGGATTTAGGTCATAGTTGATACACTCACTCCATGTACATGTACATTGTAGGGGCCTACATGTGTATTTACATAAACATTGCTTTGGACATGTGTGTGCATGTGTTTGGAACATGTAAGTGATATGTAATGAGCTAATTCTGTTACAATAAGGTTACACAAATACACATGTACTGGGTAATTTCTTGTAACAAATACATACATTTTATTTTCTATTTTATTGTAGTCAATCTGTGCCTGACATGTACCACTACAAAACTGTATTAGCAGAAGTTGTACTACACAGTAAAGTTTCTGGATCTGCAGCACAGCATTGTCGTCTTTAATCTTTGGCAGATTCATGTAAATTTTACAGAGAGTTGTGTTAGGGGCCAATCACAAGTTTAAACTTCACACTCCGCCCCCCATCCCCCACCCAATTCACCAAATGTCCCATCCTCCAGTGCCTCCAGCCCAACCCCCATCCCACCCCTAACCCCACCCCACCCCTGTCCCCCACCTTTGTCAAACAGATATCAGGATATTCATGGGGACCATCAAAACACTAGAAAACCAGTGACCAAGGTTCACATATGCCACATAGTTTGCACAAAACTTAGAATGGTGCACCTTTAGTTCATTTTGTTCAAATGTTTGTGTAATCTCATGAAATGCTGTTATAGTGTTACAGGTTGAGCATGGTTAACTGTACATACATGATATTTTGAAAAGCACAATTGTATACATTGTATACTTCTCAAAAAAAATTTTTTACAACACAAGTGATATTAATATAACTGCTAATTTAACATTACAATGTGGGGTTTTTTTGGATGAGATATTAAAGCAGTGGTTTAATAATTAACTTGCGAAATGTGAATTGTACTTTTTTCAGGCAGTTTCTTTAAGTTACACACAAATAATGCTTGCCCCAGTCTAGTACAATGCAATAAATTAAAGCTCAAGAGTGGAAGGAAACCTTAAAATGTTGTTTAAAAAATCCTTTTACTAAACATAATTAACAAGAACATGTGGGAAAGAATTCCATATACGGATGTCAATAATTTTTCCTTGCAATGACCTACCAGCCATCAGAAAGCGATAACATGTCGTACAAAGTCAAATATAGCAGGGAAAACATTGAAGAATTTAGTGAGAAAACAGAAATGTTCAGACCACTCTCAAAGTTGTATGCAGGGTCTCAAGTGACGTCCGTATGTGGAATTCTGTCCAAAATGTGAACTGCCGTATATAAATCAACAGTTAACTTGTAGTCTCTGAAGTTGGTTTCCAAAACCAATCTTGACGAAATACATCCAATCCTTGTACAGATACATGTTAAGTTGCTCCTATTCTTAATGACACATTTAGCTCAGTAGAAACACAAATTGCTTAGTAGAAAAATGTATTTAAACTGTCCTAGGTGCATATATATTTCACCTAAAATTGCACTAACTATTCATAGAAAAGTAAAGTATAGATTTTTAAAGATGACTAGAAAGTCTGCAATTTGTTGACAAAAATAGTGTCTAAAATATAATTTTAATAATAACATGTACATGTACATGCACTTTTACTCTTTGAACTAGAGCAATCACATTTATGACAAGACCAATTAACTAGTTTTGCCAAATAAAATTTGTGCAAGGTGTCTTGATAAAAAAATTGAAAACCCTGGGCTATATGGTAAAACATTGACCTTTATGAAATTGGAGAATCCTCAATGGTTTCAAAAATGCCTCAATGAATGAAACATGTACAAAGACTATGAGCACATCGCTGTGGCATTGGTGAAAATTCAAAGGTCACAACAAGGCACAACTACAACTGCCATCTGCATCTGCAGTTGGTAAAACTCGATTTCTCCTTCGTCATGGGTTTTGATTCCCTCAGTTGCAGAGGAAAATTGTGCAGTCCTTTTTGGCTAGAATCACTTCCTTTAGTGTCACCTCTCTGAACCTTGACTGACTATTCACCTCAATAAGTCTTCAGACAGAATCCTCAATGACAACCTGGACAGGGGTTGCAGCAAGTTCCAAACTAATTGAATCCTCTGCATAAATGCATCAGTGGTTGCAGTGATCTTTCTCTCATACATGTATTTGTGGATTTTCGGGGGTCTTATAATAAAAAATCTCTATAACTTTAACAGTGCATTCGCCATTTTACAAGGTACTCGGTGAGCCGCAGCTAGTAGCCAGCTGCTGTCTACATACTTGTATCATGGAGCTAAGATCTGGTAGTTAAGCCAGAATTTCAGTCCATACTTGGCATGGGCTGTGGAGCGCAGCACTTATCAGACAAGACTAAAGTTGCTTTCTTTCAGTTGAGTTTCTGTTGCTTTCCATCTGGATCATTGATGTAGCTGGCTTGAACACCGTTCATAATATCCTGCTCTCTGTTGGGACAAATGACAAAATATATGAAACGGTTTAGCATGAAAAGTTGCAAAAATCTCATCACAAACTATTTAAGACCAGGCCTACATAGATGTTAATCAAGTTGTAATCAGGGGACTGATGGTGGCAGTGTAGAGTAAAATACAGTGCAATCACCTATCATAAAGCTATCCAGAAAAAAAGATTTATACCTGGAAATCACCATGACAGTGACCATGGTGACCCTATGCACAAACAAAGGCGTCGCCAGGATTTTTTTCTAATGGGGGTAAAACATATTTTTCCCCCCAAAATCCTGTATTTTTCAACATATTCTCAATTTATCAGTTTTAGAGGGGGGCAGGGACATTTTGCCCCCCCAACTCATTAAATTTACAAAAATATGACTTTGCACCTCTATTTCTTAAATTTCCTTTTTCTTGTTTTGTTTCTTCCTTTTTTGTGTGGCTCTTCTGGGGGGGCACCCCCCCCCCCTTGCCTCCCCTCCCTCGTTTTTTTCTCGGTAAATACTTCAATATGTTCTCCAGCTGATGGCTGTTAACACTGCAGGGAACAATTAGTGATGGGAAGATTCCCATATCTGGCCATCCCTGTGCACAAACCGTATGAAGCTGGTCTGGCCATTTCTATTCCAAGTGTTTCCTAAATATTTCAATATTTTCCCAAGCTAAATTTTACTTGTTTGGACAAATTATCACTTTCTGATGCATGATAGGTCACTGAAGGGGAAAAATAGTGATGGCCAGATGTGGGAATCATTCCACCTCGGATATAGCTCGATGGTCGGTCTGACCATGCATGTACCACGGACCATTTATGGTCCATTACCACGGACCATCTGCCCACCGCACCGCGCGCCAGTACAGTGGCCAAACCCGGCCCACACGCATGACGTACAGACATGACGGCGGGATATATGCCATTGACATTGTAAAAGTTTACGATTAAAGTCGACGTTTTCCATCATAAAAATCAAACTGTAATCAGGCTTACCTTTCGCTTAGACTCCTTTTATTAGGCGTCGGAGGTCGTCCACGAAAACCCACTTCACCCGTCATGCATGTGTCATGTGTCCGTGTTTATCGCGTGAAGCGATGCAAGGTGTCCGCCATCGCGGTAAACATTATGTCGTCTGCACTTCTGTAATGTATGGTACATGGTGGGCGCGTACTGCTGCTCGACACCCTGGGGATGTTGTTCGTTTATTTCTGAGTTCTTCGTTCATTTCTGAGTTGTTCGTTTATTTCTGAGTTCGTGTATATTTCTGAGTTTATCGTTTATTTCTGAGTTGATCGTTTATTTCTGAGTTGATCGTTTAACGCTGAGTTGATTGTTTATTTCTGCGTTGATGGTTTATTTTTGAGTTGTTCGTTTATTTCTGAGTTGTTCGTTTATTTTTGAGTTGTTCGTTTATTTCTGAGTTGTACGTTTATTTTTGAGTTGTTCGTTTATTTGTGAGTTGTTCGTTTATTTGTGAGTTGTTCGTTTGTTTCTGAGTTATATTTGTTTATTCCTGAATTGTTTGTTTATTTCTGAATTGTTCGTTTATTTCTGAGTTGTTCGTTTATTTCTGAGTTATATTTGTTTATTTCTGAGTTGTTCGTTTATTTTTGTGTGTTTTCGTTTAATTTTGTGGTTTTGTTTTATTTTGTTTTTGTCTTTTTTGCCCTAATGGCCGCCCATACGTGACAGGCTCTCAACCAATAGGAATGACTAAACTGTCTGAGGTATTTATGAATGGAAAATAAAATGCACTACAAAAAGTGGTCTCTTTGTGGAAATCTGGCAGAGCAACTGTTTTGTGAATGGCTTCTATTCTGTGGTTAGCATAGCCATACAACGAAACCTTGACACTCTGCAGAAAAGGGTTTCACTTTTAGCCTCAAAACTCACAGTGGGTTGCTTGAGCAGTGTTCCCAGGAGTCCAATCCTTTGTGTTGAGGAACTTATCTTGGCTTCTTCATGTGCAGCATGATTGATGTCCTCTACTAGAGATATCTCATGTACGTCTAGTACACACAGACCCTGAATGCAACATGAACAAATTGAAAAACAACACCGCAAATCTTCAATACGCACAAAGTAAACGTCAAAAAGTCAACAACAAAAAAAGACTTTTTTTCCCTTTGGTAGCATCATTGTTATTTTGTTTGTTGTTTTGGTCGTTTCTTCATCTCTTTTCACGTTTTTGTATTGCTCAAATAATATAACTAGAATTCTTCACATTGGATTAAAAAATGTAATGTTAACATTACATTTTTGTTGTCTAATTTTGTGGACAATTAACACTGACATCGCACTATAACCATTCAAAAAGGCATCTCGAAATAAAACTTTAGGAGGAATAAGCATTGGCAGCACAGCAGCAGTTCACAGAGTTGCAAACAAGAATAAAACCCAACACAAAAAGCACAGCTTGTAGACAATTTATGAAAACAAAAACAAATGCACAATGTACATGTACACAGGTCAATAAGCTGCCATTACTGCCATAACTTAATAATACATTGTACATTATGCATGTCACATCATGAACTTTATACATGTATGTATCACATCCTGAAACAAGACCCGGCAAGCCTAGTCTGGTCCCAGAGTGCACAAACTTCCATTCAATGGTTTCAGAATGGTCATAATTCACAGCTATAGTCATTTCATGCATCCGGCCTGTACAGGCCAGATGTAGATCATTCATAAGGCCCAGTGCACATGAGAGCTATATATCTGCTTACGACAACGGTCCATTCGTGGCCCGTGGTGTAAGCAGATAGCTCCCGTGTGCAGTCAATTGTTTGAAAGATTTTTGTCATTTGTGGTGCTGCTTCGAATATCCAATGTGTTTGATAACTTCTTCAAAGTGTAAGCCGAACGACAGCTTCCTACTTATGGCAAATATGAGACACTAGGCTGGCTACGAAAAAATAAATTGTTTTTGGGATAGGATCACTTGCGTTTATCCTACAAGTATACGCTACCGAATTATTATCAAAAAGCTTACTTGAAGTAAAGATTGTACTGGTACTAAACACCCCTTGAAATTATTCTGCCTGGCTTGGCGCCATTTAGAAGAAATCAAGAAATGTACATGATTTAGGTGATTTATAACAATCGGTCAATTGACTGATTTTGGAAATAAGAGTGCCATGGACGAAATCACGTTTTGCGATCAAAAGGTTGTACATGGTTTTCGTCAGTTTTCTCCAAAAAAAGTGTAATATGCACTTAGCTGGAACTTCAACAGGTTTGGTTTTGATCATTCTTCTAAGTTCTTTGGATTTTGATTGGTGTTATTATTGGAAACAGACAAAATGCAAGAAAAGCAAATGATCCTATATCCCTATACACACATACAAGCTGGCGCATACCTTTTGCTGTCTGACCCTATTGACAGCATCTCCACCTTTCTTGGTCTCCTCACTGACCACAATGCTTCTCATGTCTGGATCCACTACGCTGGGGCTGTAAGGATCCGTGATGGGCACGATGGAGTCTGACTGTAAGATGCGTGGTTTGATATCGTGGATGAAGTCACGGACAGACGCGATGCGAGCATCCATTGGCTGGATCAACTCTGGTAGTGTTTTCCCTGCAATCAGATGAGGGGGATATATTCAGGTGTTATATTAATATAAAATACTGAACACTTATACATTTATGACCTACTCTCAGCCAATGAAGAGAAAGAAAGTAATAAAGGTTGTTTTATACTTGATTTGATGCGTTCTTACGTTGCAGCATGGATCTGTCTGTCACACCTGACTGTAATCTTCTCTTCTGCTCCACAGCTCAAGCCTGTACTGAATAAAAATGAAAAAAATAAATAAATCAGACATCAATAAAATGTTGTTGACCATGGAGGAATCGCTCTTTTTGAATGACTTGCTCAAGTGAAAACAAGAAAAGTAGTTTAGAATTTCTCTTCTGGGGTTCTGTTTTACAAAGGCTGAATTGTGAGTAGCATTGTTCACCGGCTGGGCATGAAAATACAGACCTGTCAGGGGCAGATCCACGAACTTGTGCAGGGGGGGGGGGGGGCGGCCTGTGGACAGGTTTTTTCTCCGGACACTCCGGGGGCTGGTACCATTCTTCCAATCGGGGTGCTGTTCAATTCAGACAATCAGGCACACTATATCGCACAAAAGTGTTAAAAAAAAAAACCTTTACCCCTCTATGTTCGAGTGTTGCGGCCAGGCGGACATATGGGTAAATATTATGTAGTATAAGTTTAAATATTTTTGGTGTGAGCAGGGGGACCGGGAGCAGGGGCACCCCCCCCCCCCCCAAAAGTATTCGCGCCTGCCTGTACCTTATAAAAGTTGTAATAAAAGTACTAGCATTGTAACGTTCCCCTCTGTACATCAACGTCACACTGATGAGCACTCCACACAATCTTGTTCCGTAATTGTGGGGAACTCACACTTGTCGTATGTGGTTTAGGCCTAACTTTTTGGGACAACATGTTTACAAAAATATCTGAGCGTAAATCTACAATAACGGCATTTTCTTTGAACTGTTTCGGTCCAATGTACAAATAAAAAAGTATGTCATACGGCAGACAGAAAACAGAAGTTTGTTGAAGGCAATGGCTAACCTACTACGGATAATAGGGTATTCAGGTATCTGATAAACACATGGGCTGGATTGTGTTTGAATATCTGTCAAAGAGGATAGGGATGATGGTGGGTTTGAACCATTCAATTCTGAGCAAACCAGAAAGTCACACACTATACACTCTTCCTCACATACTCATCTTAAGGTAAAATGTAATACAACAGAATGTTTAATATGGAACCTGAATGCAATCCATATGTCTACTCCATCAGGCTATTACTGGGCAAGTCCAAGAATTCACACACGCTACGTCCCAGGAACGCTTAACCCTCAAAAAAGCAATTAGATCAGTGTTTTGTTTTATTTTATTCTACTGTTAGACATCTGAAAGGAGAATACCGTACCCACATGAATTTGTTGTTATTCTTTGTGATAAAGAAGACATGGTATGCTATGCATGGGACCACAAGGATACCTTTTCTTGGACTTGCCCTACTTGCAAAAAAGGAGAGTTTTCTAGTTTATTGTAAGAGTACTAGGCCTATACCGGTATAAATGGAAACAAGTCTTTTATTTAAAAGTATGTAAAGAGAAAATTTCACCATTTTCAGCCACTGCAAAGCATAAAAAGTGAATTTGACACCACACTTCATTAACATCCAAACATGTCAGAATATTGTTGTTTTTTTATTTATATGAAAAAATATGAAAAAAATTACAATGCACCTAGTCAGTTACTCTTCGTGCTTTATTTGAAAAAAAAACAACCATTGGTTTCATATTTCCTTATGTAGTTTTAATGTTCAATTAATATAATTCTGAAAACATTTTCTGTAACCACCCCCCCCCCCTTCAATGCTGGGTCCAACCAGTTATTCCTTCATCTTTTTGCAGTTTTTAAAATTGATCTGCCCACCAACCGTTGCACCAATGTTTATGGGTCATTCCATGAAGTTCAAGAGGAACAGGCCATAATTTTCTGAGGTCTGATTATAAAACAGTTTTTTCTTTGTTATGGAATGGTTATTTCTAAAACAAATATCATTTGACAATAAGGCTATAAGATAAGCTTTTAAATGATACCATGCTTGATGATATTCAAAAATAACTTTCATACCCGAATTCTGTAAATGTTATGGCGTCCGACATAAAAAATTAGGAAAAAGTGTGACAAAGCAACCTACAGTTCAAAAATAACTCATTTTGAAAAGAAAACAAGTGGACTGGAGTTGAGGATTTACACAAATTATAGCGAGATGTACCCTTCCTATTGAAAAAAACAAATATCAGATTTTAAAATGTTTTGCCAAAATAGCATGCACAATTTAAAATGGCTTGTGGATGTAACGTATGGTGTCCCGTGTTTCATATTATGTTACATCCACTGAACTGGCCTTTGCAAAGTTGTCTTTTTGCAGCAATTTTGGTCGGATTGACCCCAATATTTCATGATTGAACTGGTATTTGTAAAATAATGTGATCGTAGTCTAAGCAAATAAATATTTTGGCCAAATATGAAGAAAATCTTATGCCTGTGGGCACATGGTGTCCGTGTTACATCCACAACCGGTTGACATGGTCATGCCTAAAATAAGTATGAAAATCATGACCTGCAATCTGCAATTGCCCTTGAAACAGAGATTTGGAAACAACATTTCTAAACACAAACAACATTTAGTTCCATTCATATCGAGGTGAAGAATACCGCATTGTGATGTAGTGGTGTCCCACATGTTACATCCACAACCATTATTAAGTGGTCGGGCACAACCCGACCACTCTCTATTATCGTTACGATTAATCTTTATTTTTTTTCCGTACGGCACGTTTCCGCGGGTTTTCTCATAAACGGTATATGGTATGAACTTGTACTGTAACTTTCAACATATATCGGCCCTCATCCCTAGTGGTGCATATTACTCTGACGTCATGATGACGTCATCGGGTGTCAAATTACAAGCAATTTTCGTTGAAAAAATGATGATATTCTTTCACCTATAACTCTTGAACAGAACAATCAATTGTTTTCCAACCTTGTAATCAGATAGACCATTAATAGGTGAACATTTTTTGTCATGTACGTTAACTCGCTTAATTGACCTTTACTTCTGGGTCTACCGGAAGGTCAAAGTTAGGTCAATTCAAAACGAAGACTTTAGCCTGAAATCAAAACAAAGCAACAATTCTTCCAAACGGTTTGCGGTATGATCATAAAACCTTGCGTGAACTTGTACCATGTAACGAAGATGTTGTAAATTTTGTTACGTCATCATGACGTCATCAGGTATCAAATTACAAGCGATTTAAGGGCAACTTTTGACCAAATAGTTTGCGTTATATCTTTTACACTAAATAGAGTGTCGTGTTTGTTTTTTTCATGAGGTTGTAGACTATGCCGTGAGAAACATTTCGTGTTCCCGGACACAAAACCGCATGACCTTCACTTCCGGTGTTACCGGAAGTGCAATAAAAACCGAACATAACTCAAAAGCGGAAGCATTTTACTACACACATCGAATTAGGAAAGTGTTTAGTGAGGAATGTCAGACAAATAAAACAGTGTGATGACGTCATCTTTCGAAAGGGTGCCCCCTAGCGGCACATAAAATAGTGTGAGCTTTCTTTAATTTGAAAACCATCCGTTCAAATTTTACCAAATTGCCCCTTGATATTCTTTGATTAACCACATATAACTTGGCAACGTTTCAAATTCATGACGTCATCAGACCAGAAGTTACTTCTATGAGAATTAGAAAACGATTATATTTTAAATGTAATTCTATCAATTGATCCATGTCGATCTTAGCCCAAAAAAGATATCCATTACAATGTTCACCTTTGCTTCCAAATACTGTGTCGTCATCAAACCGGAAGGTGGGTGTTATGAATACATACGTTATTTTACTTTACAATGAACATCTCTTTCCGTTTTTGAATAATGACGTAATCAACCAAGAAATAACTTGCATACATGTGTACATAGAATGCTTACTAAAATTGACCACACTGTTAAAGATGTATTTTTTTACTTGAAGATAAAAATAACTGATTTTACTGGAAATGATTTTATTTCGAAATCCTTTGTTCTTACATAAAAATATTCATAACTTAAAGGAAACATGCAGTGGAAATTCAGCTCATCTTGTTTTCATGCACATTACTATGTGTTGCAACAATACATACAAGATCTTAATACTTGTTTTCTCTGGAAGTGACAAGAAAGTGGTAGTTTTTCAATTATTAGTAAATCCTTTCATCAATACAAAAGAGGGCGCTATTTTGTCACACAAGGTACTCCTTGCCAAAGGTGCGTTATGAACAGTACAAAAATTGGTCCTTCCAAATTACCCACAAAACTTTTTTGGGAAGAAATATTTGCCACTACGATTGTCCAAATAAGCTGTTTTACATGATAAACAATAAAAAGTGGAATTTACTCCAAAAAAATAAAGAAAACTTTGACATATATTTGTATACACATAGCTATGGAGACACTACGGCTCTGCCTTGAATGACATCATGCTTTGGCTCATGAATATGGACATTTTCATTAGCATCAAAGCTTAAATGTTGAAATTTCTTTCTTTTACTGCTACAAAGGAGGCGGAAACTTCATAGTTACATTGTACATGGCAAGAAAGCTGTTTTAAATGTATTTAAGTCATATAAATCCTATTACATGTTCCTGTTAACTGGACAGTGTTTCATAAAATAGTTGTCTACCCGACCACTCTGCGTTTGTAACAACAAACGCGAAACTCTAGTTTTTTGTTGTTATTGTTGGAAATAACAATTTTAGCATTCTTTAAAAGTATATAAGTATGGATTTGATGATAAACTCAAGTTCGGTGTGAATTTCAAGCATTTGAAGTATTATGAACAAAACAAGGTTTGGATGTAACAGGACGGTAGCCTCTGGTTACATCCACAACTTCTCCATAATCATTACATGTAAATACATACTGTGTACAAATTTACCAACTTTCCAAAATCATGTGACTTAAATTTGAATGAATTTTTAAACTACAATGTATGGGCTATCAAAAAATGCATAATCAAAACTTGTACTAGTAATTTGAAAATTTGACCCCAATGTCACACTTTGTATCTCAACTTTGTGGAATGACCCATATACAAACATGAACAAAATATAAAATAAAAAATTCTTAAAAACATTATTTTCAAGAAAAGTCAGTATTTTGTGGTTGGAATAATCCCAAACAACTCTTTTAAATGTCTGACATAAGT